TAAAAACCCGCAGCACTCAATAATGGAAACTTCACAATGGAAAACTGGAGAAGCAGGAATATATGACCCATAGTGAAGGTAAGTCACTCGCAGAAGCAGATCCGGCACTGGAAGCTAGACACCTCCGTGACACACACGCAGGAACAGGGGAAGACGCGGAAGGGGAAGACCCGAGTTCAGCTGCTAAGATGAAAAGTCTGCAGGATGATGAGTCTCGGGGTGGGGGAAATCCGAGAAATCACGGCTAAAAACCCCAGACTTCTCATCAGAAACAATGCAAGATGGGAGAAAGCGGAAGGAAAGAAACCTACTAGCCAGAAGTGTCCTATGTCTCGTGAAAACACCTCTCGCAAACGAAGGCAGAACAGACAGCTTCCCAGACACACGATGGCTGAGAAAGCTCTGCAGAGCAGCCCCACAGGAGCCCTTCAGCGGAAGAGCCACGCCATTTGAAAACCGGGATCTCAGCAGAGTGAAGTCACCGGGGTGCTGAATATTCGTCTGAATAGGAAAGGCAGCCCCATGTATTTATCTTTAAAAAGCTCTTTAAAATATAATTGACAGTTCAAAGCAGAAATAATACTGCACATGGTGGGTTTAAACACAGGCACAGACGCAGAGTATAGAGCCCAGGAGAGGACAAGCCACCGCGGCCTGGCACCTGCACGACTGAGGCGGTGGTCACGGTGAAAGGCACCCGAAGGCACCCACTGAAAGACCAGGACAGAACAAGGAGATAGAATGCAATCAGCAATACACCCAATTAATCCAGGTCAGGCAAAACCTACCAACCAACCGAAGAGTAACTGGGGCAAAGCATGGAATTCCATCAAAAAGAAACAGACACCCTGACAGACCTGTGTCTATCAGTGGGATTAAACTTGAACTTGACCATCTTCTCTCCACAGGCTCGGACAGCTCTGGTAGTGAGCTCTACCGCGCACTCGAGGAAAACAAGTTCTAAACAGACTCTTCTAGAAAAATGAAGAGGAGGAAACACTCCCCAACTTACTTCAGAGGCTAGCATGAATCCGACACAAAACTATGAAAAGGCAGGACAAGAAAACAAAATTATAGATCAGCATCCTCCATGACTAAGATGCAAAAATCACTTGTCTTCACTGAAGCATAGTTTACAATGTGTCAGTTTCAGGTACACAACACTGACTCAGTAACTTCATAGACTACACTCCATTTAAAGCTATTACAAAATAATGGCTGTATTTCTCTGTGCTGCATAACATACCCTTGATGCCTATTTATGAGGCAAAAGTTCTTAACAAAATTTTAGCAAATTAAATTGAGTACATAAAAAGTATACTACATCATGATCAAGTGACACGCAGTTCTTTGATGTTGATTATATTTCAACAAATTAATTTTAAAATGCAAAAAAAGGTTTGCTTGCAAAGTTTTCTAATGTTAAATCTTGAAAACCAAATAAAGGTTTGCAAGCTTTATGATTTGAAAATCAACAATGCATTTCACTGTATTTACAAAAGAAAATTTGTATATTTACGAAAGAAAACCACATGATCATCTCACTAGTTGTAGAAAAGTCTCTGGCAATATTCAACATCCACTTGTGACAAAAACACTCAGCAAACCAGCAGCAGGAAGAGAGGGAAATGCCCTCAAACGTCACACTTAATGGCAGTGAGACACATGCTTCGCCCTTAAGTCTGCA